TAACATTTACACTGTGTGTTTAATGTTTTTTTTTTGGCAAAATATTCTTTTTAATTGTGATATATAAATATTAAAAATACTTAAAATATTTTAATAAAAGCATCTAAAATATTCTATATTATTCACAAATAATGTTTGAAGCTACCTAAATTTTTCTAAACTACCCGTAAGGAAAATATGTATAAAAATTCTTCATTTAACCTCCATATATGTATATATATAGAGAGAGCAAATGTGTAAAAAAAATTATACAAATAATATTTAAAAGTATCTAATATATTAGTAATTAGACAGGTGAAATTTAGATTTTTAAAAAATCTATATAGATAATGGATTTATGGTAGTAATTAAACTTTTATTTATTTACCTTTAAAGTTGTACGATAGAGGGATGTGATTTTTTTGACTCGTGGAGATGAAATTTTATAAGCTGGGTTATGAAATTTTTCTTAAACTCATTCATATCTATGTGATGAGTTTTTTAAGCTGGGTATATAGATTTAAACTTGTAAAAAAAAACAAAAAAAAACTTTCATAAATTATTTGATTTGGTATTTTCGGAGAGCTTCATTAATTTAAAAGTGTAAAACAAATAAATAAAAAAAGTACAACTGAAAAAGTTATAACCAATTGTATGGAGAATTAAACTAAATCCAATTTTGTACGATGCATTAAATATTGATTAGATTTTATATGTAAAATAAAATAAAAAATAACTGGAATAGTTTTACGTGTTGCAATATTTTACATTTAAAAAAATTAAAAAATCTTCTTTTACGTATTGCATACCAACATTTTAGGAAATACATGGATATTCCTAAATTAATATTGCATACCCAATCTTTTATGAACTAATTAAATGCTAATTTGATTTGCATACCAAAAATATTAGATGTATTAATTAAATGCTTGATAAAAATAGCAAATTATTAATTAGAGTTGACTATTCTACATACTACATTTAGTAAATAGTATAGCTTTTAATATAAGTATAGATATATAGATTGTGTCTTTCATGCTTTGAGTAGAGATTGACACCTTGAGAGCTGGTGTTTGAAAAATATATAACATTTTCTAATTACTAGTAAAGTGCACGTGCATCACATGTAGTGATAAATGTTTTTCGCTGATTGAATCCAGTAAAATAAAGTAATTAATTTAATAAACATATCATTGCAGAAATGAAGTAAAATATAGAATAAATGAGTTTCTAATTTTTTTTTTAAATAACATAATAATGTCCTAATATAAAAAAATGAAATAACATATTACAACTCCAACAAAAATACAGTCTCTAATGAAAAAAATACTACTTAACTAAATAAGGGCCTAATGTATATCATAGATCCATTAGTTATTTATATTTTAATTATGTTAGATGATTAAAGAGTGATTTTTTCATTTTGGATTTGACATTTTTATAAAAAACATTCATATTTTTGGAGCCCAGTACATCAATAGTGCTGCAAAATTCTTCTTAATTCATTTGACAAAATGTCTACATTATTCAATCACTTATAAATATTCTGGCAAAACAGATAGTCAAACTTCATGATTGTATGATCATAAAAAGTTATTCAATCACCGACTTCTCTGAAAGAAATTTTATCATGCCCTGAATGATTTTTTTTCAATGTTATTTATTTGGAAGACAAACGAACTATATAACCTATTCTCTGCAAATCATTGACCATCTTGGTTGTTGCAATGATTTTAGCGTTGTTTATCATAATATCTTTCACATTCGTTGGAATTTATAGTACTTATGTGCCTAATAACATCTTTAATCTTTTTATTGTCCAGTTTTTTTCATCATACATAAATACTTCGAAAATTCAAAATAAAGATCCTTTCTTGGACAAAAAAAAAAAAAACACACACACACACACAAAACAAGGAGACAATATTAAGAAACATCTTATGATGTGAAATATTTCCTGTTGGGAGTAACATGATAGGATGCTGCAGTATCTACCACTCATTCCATTTCTTTTCTTGAGACATGAAGGTATGTCTCACCATGGACAATGATGAGAGTTTCACCACCCTTACCCTTGTTCTTCTACATACTGAAAACTATTCTTCGGCTGAGAATTGCTTTTGTCTTGCTCCTCGAGCTATTTATAGCAATTCTTCTTCATATGACCTTCTAGACCACAATGATAACAAACATGTGATCTCTAATCATCTGATTTTCTCCCCTTGCTTATACCCCTGGTCTTCCCTCTACTGCTTCTTTGTTGCTTTCCTTGTGGTCTTCCTCGATTCTCCATTACAAGGGGATGAGTCTGATTTGCGCTCATGTCTTTCCTTTTTGCCTCTTCATTGTATAATGCATCCTTGACAACGGTCATGGAAAGTTTGTCGTTCGCGGCTGAATTTCTGAGAGTAACGAGTGTTTCCCAGCTATCAAGAAGGGAACTAAGAAGTAGCAGAGACTTCGTTTCATCTCCAAGCGGCATCTCCACACAAGATAGCTGATTTACCAGGCTCTGGAACTTACTAGTATGCTCGGCAACAGAAGTTCTACTTTTCAACTTCATATTGACTAAATGTTTCATCAATAAGGCCTTATACCGAGTAGTCTTGGTCTGGTACATATCCTCCAGCTTCCTCCAGAGGACATATGCGTCGACTTCTTGTGCAACATGATGGAAGACACTATGATCTATCTATTGTCGGATTTGACCAATAGTTTTTCTGTTGATTTTCTTCCATTCTAACGCCTTGGACGGATCAGGGTTAATACCCTTCAACTCTATTGGGTCAAAGAGCTATTTACAGTTGAGGAAATCTTCCATTCGAGGTTTTCACAACGTATAGTTGGTAGTCGTGAGCATAATTATGGCTCCAGAAGATGAAGTTGACTCTTCCATGACCATTTTTTACCTTCAATGATCTGTTTGGGACAAATCGAACCTGTATTTTGAAAAATAGAGAGCACCGTTGCGTCCGAAACAGTCGAAAATAGGGGGAGGGAATTTTTTTACCGTGATGACGTGGCAATTGACTAGGATGAGGTGGCAGCTGACTGGGCCCAATTGCTGACGTGGCAGCTGACTGGGACTGTTGATGTGGCAGTTGGATGGGTCTTCTTCGCTGACGTGTTGATGACATGTCAGATGATGTGGTGACACGTCATCATCTTTTTCCTCATGATTTTTTTTTTCAGAATTTCAGAAGGTTATTCTGGACAGCTCCGATATTCTTTTTATGCACGTAAGATATCACTGTGACCGTCTCGACGAGATGAATCTAACATTATTCTCGAAATTGAATTTCGAACACAACTCAGAAACTCAAAATTTCTACAGAATCTCGAAAAATTTCCTAATTAAGCTCGAAAGCTTCAAACCAAGCTTTGATACCACTTGTTCTGGCATAATACCATGATCATAATCATAATTGAGAGAAAAGCAAATTTCTATTACTCACAAGAATAAAAACAAGAGATTTACAAACTCTAAAAAAAACTCTCAAACACTCTATAACTCTGCTTGGTTGTGTTTCAAGTTTCAACGCTCTCAAGGTTGATTGATCATACTCTAAGATGATTAAATTGAATGAAATGAGCACCCTATTTATGAATACAAGTAAGCACACTATTGTTGACAAACGGTGTGTGAAAGAAGAATGTTTGGTAGAGACAACTATTGAAGACCTTTTCATTTCTTTGTTGCAACTTGCATGGAACTTTCAAAATGTCAATTCAGTTATTTATTCATTAATCTATACTTATATAAAGAACTATCCTATTTAGTAAAACTAGTAAAACTAGTAGGAAAAAAATAGGTCAGCATTTAGTGCAACCCATATATAGTAGTTTTATTATTTTTCTTATTTTTTTCTTTAAAAATCATACAATTTAATTTATAAATACACTTGAATATAATCATACAATTGAATCATACATTTTTTTTTAAAAAAAAAAATACGCTTTAATATACATATATGTATAGTACCTTTTGTAATAAATTCGGATAAAATGTGTTACTTAAATATCTAAACAATTTAAAAATACAAATGTTTAAATTAATTGATAAACAATTTATAAATTTCTATTTTATTTAAATATGTAATTTTATTTAAAATAATTTTAAATATACCAAAATTTATTTGGAAAATCGTATCAATCCTACCAGTTCAACCGACTGGTGTTGATGGATTCAATATCAAATATTTTATTCAAGTGAACTAGATTGATAATAAACTGGTTCTTGGTCGGTCTGGTCAGATTGTGCCTAGTACGGTTTACTTTAAAAATGATGAGTAAATCTTGATTAATTTATTTGTATATATAATTTATAAACACAATCGTAATATTGTTTTCCCGTTCGATCACGCACTAGTTTATTGAATACTTGATCGTTATTTGTTTTCCTAGTATTTGGAATTTCCTTCGAACATTTATGTAGGGTAATAATAATTTAAGACATAAAGAAATTTAGTAACCAAAAAAATAGCAAGAGTCATGCCCTGGACAGAAAGCAATCTTACACCGAAATTTCATGCAAAAGTTTAGATGTCAATTCTAAGTTCTAACCACCTTTGAGTATTTCACACACTACACACACTTCCACACAAAAGAAAAATATTAAAAAATAGAAAAAAAAGTTTAAGTATAGTAACTCATGCACATGAATTTATATATCTAATTAATAATTTCTCTTGATTCTCCCCCTCACCTGTTTATTTTTTTTTTTTATTTTTTTTTTTTCTGATTCAATAATCTCAAATTCTCACATGAAGAAAGATCACAAGACATATGCTGCAACATTCACTAATAATTATAAGTATATGTTTCAAGAACAAAGATTTGTTTGTCTTGTGATAGGGATCGCCATTGCCTGTCTGGTTTTCAACGTGGTTCCTTCACTTTCCTATTCTCAGCCACTGAAAGAGACAATCGCAACCGTCGATCAGCCTATTACGACCGTTAGCCGCCGTTATGCCTATGAATTCGAGGGCGGATTTAGTCACCTTAGTGTGGGTATGTATACGTTATACTTTTGTAAAAGAATGTAATCAAAAGAAGATTTGATTTCATCATTTTTGTTGGTTAGAACATTTTTTGTTGTTGTTGGATAAAGTTGGGATGGTAATGCAGGTTCGAGGATTCCTTTGGGACTGAAAACCAAAAGCCTAAGGATTTTGGTGACGGGCGGGGCCGGTTTTGTAGGGAGCCATTTGGTGGACCGTCTCATAGACCGTGGAGACAGTGTGATTGTGGTTGATAACTTTTTCACGGGCCAAAAGGAGAATCTCTTGCACCACTACGGGAACCCAAGGTTCGAGATCATACGACACGATGTGGTTGAGCCCATTTTGCTTGAGGTCGATCAAATCTACCACTTGGCTTGCCCTGCCTCCCCTGTACATTACAAGTACAACCCCATCAAGACAATTATATCCTTTTGTTTCTTCTAATTTACGTTTCGTTTTTTCGTATTCATCAAAAGAAAGCGTTCGATTATGTGTTTCTGCAACTGATTTGTTGATTGATCACACAAATGAGAAAACTTTTTGTCACTTTTTTTTGGGTATGGTGTTATTGAGACATGTAAAAAAGGAAAAAAAGAATAAAAATATATAGTTGGGAATGGAAAAATAAGTGGATATGTATTTTCAAGAATTGAAAAAATTCCTTCACTTTTGATTTCGTGGAGATCACAAGACGAATGTGATGGGAACATTGAACATGTTAGGCTTAGCTAAGAGAATCGGCGCTCGTTTTTTGCTCACAAGCACAAGTGAGGTGTATGGAGATCCCTTGGAGCATCCACAATCCGAGACTTATTGGGGCAATGTAAATCCGATCGGTAAGTCGTCTTGTATATATTTCTAATGCTCACATTATTAATGGAGTGTTTGCAAAACTGAAAAAACATTCACTTTAATTAATTTAACGTTTGATTAGGTGTTCGTAGTTGTTATGACGAGGGAAAGCGAACGGCCGAGACCCTGACCATGGATTACCACAGAGGACTTAACCTTGAGGTTATATCTCGGATTTCGTATTGGTACACGTAGCTTAGTTATGTGAATATTTATCTTTTTTCCAGGTACGGATTGCTAGAATATTCAACACCTACGGACCAAGGATGTGCATTGATGACGGGCGTGTCGTCAGCAATTTTGTGGCTCAGGTCAAAGATTTTCTGTTCATAACATAAAGTAAATCACACTAAATACATAATAACATTCACATTTTTTGCAGGCCTTAAGGAAGGAGCCATTGACTGTTTATGGTGATGGGAAGCAAACTAGGAGCTTCCAATACGTTTCCGATCTGGTAAATGTGTATTGCACAACGTCCCGAATTTACAAAGCAAAAGCATAGGCCTTTTGCTTTTAGTTGTCTTTCTTTTCTTTTTTCTACTTGTACAATTTGATTGAGTGCATAAGCGGCTAACACGAAATCGTTCTTGCAACTATATACGATAACAAAGGTCGAAGGTTTAATGCGGTTAATGGAAGGCGACCATGTGGGCCCCTTCAATCTTGGGAACCCTGGAGAATTTACCATGCTTGAACTTGCCCAGGTACAATTTTACACTAATAAAAGGCTTAAGAAACAAAAAACATAAGCTTTAATTACTTGTAGTCCAAACTTGTATAACTAACAAATTACTTTCTGTAAAAGAATTAAGTTTTACACACAATGGTCAATACACTTCTACTTGTGTTTGCCGGTTTTCAACTCGTAAGCCTGTTTTATTAAGACCGTGTTTAGGAATGTTGTTGTTTTTTTTCGGACGCAGGTAGTGCAAGACACGATAGATCCGAACGCAGTTATAGAGTTCAGACCAAACACCGAAGACGACCCTCACAAGAGGAAACCAGACATTTCAAAGGCTAAGAAGCTTCTCGGGTGGCAGCCGACTGTGTCGTTGAGGGAAGGGCTCCCAAAGATGGTCACCGATTTCAGACAACGTATTTTTGGTGGCCAAAACGATCAGATGGGTGCATCAAGTGAATAAAGTTTTACCATGACATAATAAGTTCTTTTTTTTTTTTTTCTTTAAGAATGAATTATAAGCAGAAGAACCAATAATAAATAACATTATATGATCCTCTGTGGCTAGATTTTGTTAGTAAAAAACTAAAAAGGATAAGGATTTATGGTAAAAAAAAAAAAAAAGTAAATAGTATTATTTTACCAATAGTTAATCTAGATTTGTACCAAAAAAAAAAAAATAGTTAATCTAGATATCTATAGATTATTAGTGACATTCGACGGGTTGGTGTAAGAATGAAACTTTTGATTCATTCGTTTTCTGATACCAGTTTGTGTATGGTATAATCTAATGAAAATATTTTTATTCTCATGAATCATGTTAAATCAAAATTGGTATAGCGTATTATAGACATGTGTTTGCACTAGGGCTGAGCACGGGTCGGTTCGGTTCGGAGATCCAACAATTTCCTGAACTGAACTGAATTTCAGAGATTCCAAAAATTGAATCTTTGAAACCGAATCTGTTCTAATAGATCTCCGTTCCGATCCTCAAAGGAAGATCTCGTACCCGAACCGTGACTTAGACTATGACGAAGCCAATCTTGAGTGTAAATATATTTTAACCATTTTAGGGGTCATTGAAGCTTGAAAATCATCAATTATTGAACCAAATTAATGCTTTCATAACTTATATGTATAAATAAAAAACATGTATATTATTTGTACAAATCAGTTTTCGGTTCTGTTCGGTTAACCGATCAATGTTATCCAAACCGAACTGAAAATCAAAATTGTAAGAAAATGTAAACCAAAAACCGAACCAAATATTGGTTTCGGTTTCGGTCTAGACCGAAATTTCAATTTCAGTCGATTCGACTCTGTTAACCGAACTTTGTGCACCCCTAATAAGACGTACAGATGAACAATAATCAATTTAAAGATAGTTACTTGTTTTTTTTTCCAAAACGATAGATTATATTATAAATCAAAATGCACAAATGTGCGAATACACATCAGCCAACAACTGAAAAAGTGGGAAGACATGTCAGAAGACCACCTAGAGTCCCGACTAGCAATGCTAGAATAGAGCACGCAACTAAACTAACCAACTAAAACAACTCGAACAACTAAAACAACTAAAAGGACCGCAACACGGTAATACCCGAGTGTCGGATCCTAACAGGATAATAAAGTTGACACCCGGGCACACAGAGGCCAAACGGCCCAAACCAAAAACACGAGACAAAAAAAAGAACAACACAACCTAACTAAAAACACTAAAAACACCTGTAACAATCTACTACTAATAGACAACCCTCCTTCAGCAGAGACCTCCAAGATTGTCAATGAACAAAGCCTATTACAGGAGTAATTCAAAGCACAGGAACCACGCTCACAACTACCCAAGGCCTAGCGAACACAGAGACCCAAGCCCTGAAACACTCCCAATAGCCGACCCTACTCCAACCGCAGAAACCACACTCATCCCCAACCCGACAAACATCATAAGTCGAGTGCCGAGCCCACCCAAAATCACCGAAACCACAGCCCATTCGAAAGCCGAACAGACACACAAACTCAAGACGAAGAGCCGGGAGAGGGGAATTGTCAGTTCCAAGCCCAGCCACCCCACCCAGACCAATGGAAATAGCCACAACCCGTCGGAATAGAAAAGGTACCCGCCGACTGCAACCGAAAGCAAACCGAGACAAATCGGCAAAAGCAGAGGCAGCCACCACACAACACTCAGAGCCAGTGAAGAAACTCACCTCCCACAATCACCAAAACGTCGACGGAACAGACCCGTGCCAATCGACGGCGAGAAAGCCATGAGCATACCCCAGATCCAGCGAGAAGAACCGAGCCAATCAGTCCAACCACGGCGACCAAGACCTCATCCACTCACCTGCAACCGTCCTTCGTCCAGCCCAAGCCCGTCGAAACTCCGGAAGGGCGTACGCAGAAAGAGGATCTGCAAACCCTAGGAGAATCCAACTACAAAGGTCTGAACGGGATAGACGAGGCCGATTCGTGGGTGAATAGTGGAGCACATTCTCCGACTATCCTGGATTACCGTCGGGGGAGCAAAGGAGGCGCAAGTAGAAGACGACCAAGGGCGGTGATTTTTTTCTCGGCAGGGACGACGAGAGAATATTTTTCTCAGCGACTGATTTATCTAGTTACTTGTTAAATAAATGATATTTTGAAAATATATTGTGTCCAAATAAATTAATCTCTTTCGATATCATGAAAGTCGGATATAGTACATATAAAGTTTGTTTTCTAAAAGAATAGATATTTAATTTTATTAAGTTATAATTAATTTTATTAATAATATAATCGATATATCCGTTCTTAATCCAATATAATGGTAAAGTATCTATCAGTTTATTTTTATTTTAGAATATATCACCTTAAAATAAACAATTCTCTCCAAGTTTTGTGAAAAACTTGCTTCATAAAGGTTGGTTTTCAAATATTCGATATTTAAATTTTATTGAGTTATACTTAATGATTTTCTTAATAAAATATTTGATATATTGGCTATCAAATTTTGTAATAGGATGAGTATATTTATTTAATTTTCTTTTCAAAAACTTGATTAAAAAATGAGAATATAGATTAAATAGTGTCTCATAAGCAATATCAAAATAAAATATTTTTTTTCAATTAATAAATTCTGTTAACATTCAATTGTGGATGTTTTTTCGCAACTCAATTTGAAACATAACTTATGATAGTTTTATGGAATAGACAAATGTATACAAATTTTATTTGCAATTCAATTTTAAATACAATTATGTACAAATATGGTAAAGTATTATACATATATATATATATATATATATGAATTTTATGAATTTGAATCGCATCTTGTTCGATTTCTCAGTTCGGTACGATTATTTTCGGTTTGATTCTCAGTACGGATATTTTATGAATTTCTAGAACCGTACCAAAAAAAATATCGGTATGGTTCGATTCGGAGATAGTCAAACGGTCAACGGATATTTTTCGGTTCGAGGTGAATTCGGTTCGGTTTCTAGAACGGTTCAGTAATCTCCAAGACCCGTGATCACCCCTAGTTTGCACCAAGGGGACCACCTAGATGTAGATTAAATTGTTTATGATGGATTTAAGCTGGAAAATTCTGAAAACTATTGAAAATATAGATCGTGTGACCGATGATAAATAGGGTGCCTGCACCAAGGATTTTATTCATAGTTTGGGCCACTCCTAAACCTCTTTTGAACATGAGTCTTTTAAAGGCAAGGAAATAGCGAAACCTAGTAGGGAATGTTTGGAGAACATGAGAGCTTAGCAATGAAAGAACTAATATTTTAGTGTTGTATTGGTTGTTGTAATGGGAATTGTTCGTAGTTCCTTGTCCTTTGAAGACCATGAACACCTCTATTTATAAAAAGGGATGTCGAACCGTTTGGCGTGTGACGGGTCGTCTATTCGTAGTAAATGTCTCGTTCATTCACTTAATGCGGCTGGCATGTGGACCAAGAGTATTATAGTATCTTTATAAGAGAAGGGGGATCTCTCTTATTTGGCAGATTGTCATTCTTTCTTCTTCTTCTTTCTCATGTCTTCATTCTTCTTTGCAGTCTTCAGGTTCCTTCAGTTTGGGAAAATTCTTTTTGGTGGTCCCATCAAAAGTTTTCTTTGAGCGATGCGGAGTGTTGCATCACTTTTGGCAACGAACGAGATTGCACACCTACGCCTCGAACGACCTTCATTCTTGAGCTCCACTGACCTCCAATACACCGGGAAGGGGTCGTAGTGGAAGAACTTCTGACGCTCAAGTCATAACTTGCTGAATAACTGCATATATGAATTGTGTAAGTTAAAGGCATAGAATGGGATATCATATGATGAAGAACCTGTCACCCTCATATAGGGTATATATCTTGGTGCCCAGGAGAATCCTTGATATAGAAGTAAAACACAACCATATCATAGTCCCTAACTTACCACATCTTTATCTAGGTAATATCCATTGAGGAAATGAGTCTTTCATTCTTTCTAGGATTCTTTCCCCTAATATTTTAGCTTGTAAGTCCTTATGTCGTTATTTCGACCTCCTAACATGTCTGTTATGGTCTATCTAGGTCGAACCTAAACTTTGTTCGAGGTCTAACCTTGATGTGCATTTGTACCTCAAATAAGCTCTCTAAGATCCCTCAACCATTTTGCTCATCGGAGACCTGCAAAGAAGTCGAGAGAGGTTCCCGACGTTAAACCTTTAATGCTCAAGTCAGTAAAGTGATATAGAAAACAATATGAAAATATGTTGAATGTTTAGAGTGTATAAATTGTGATTAACCTTTACCTTCTCCCAATTTTACCTATTTAAAGAAGATTATTAGCTTTCTGACAAGCTTCTCCCTACCTGGCTGCCTGAAGGCCTGTCTGATTGCCCTTTTTGCCCGAAAAGGCTGTTCGTCAGTTACTAAGCTACTCGTAGGCCTGCTCGTCAGTTATTTTTCTTTACTCTCATCTGTCTAATTGTCTATCACTTATTTATAACCTTACACGTATCCTTTGTTAACAGCCTGGATTCGACCCTTAAGGTGGGTCAGTCTGCTCCCTATTCAAGCAATTAGTGAACTACCATATTTTCGAGTCATCACATGTCCAAGCTCTTTATCCTTTGAGTTAAAGACACACCTGAGTTGTCCGAGCTCCTTATCTGCCGAGCTATAGACATCTCCAGCTTATCCGAGCTCATTTTCTGCCTAGCTATAGGCATACCAAATGATCTGAGCTCCTTATTTGCTTAACTATAGGCATACCATAACTATCCTAACAACCCGTGCTCGTTCTGATTCTAAACCCACCGGCCTAGCTAATCTTCCCCTTATATTATGAGCCAACCACGACCGGTTCCACCGAGCTATCTTTATATGCTTTATCATCTAGCCCCTTCCCCCCTCCTCCTCTCCAGTTATCAAACGAGTTATAAACCTCCAAGCTTAATATACTTGTTTGATAATGATGGCCAAATTTTCCTGGCAT